ATATATGTAACACCTCACTCAACTCAAGTGCACATGGAATGTTCTTCAGGATAGGTCACATGTAAGGCCACAAAATGAATGATAACAAATTTTAAAAGATTGAAATTATACAAAGTATGTTTTCTGGCCACAATGAAATGAAACTAGAAATCAATAGCAGAAGAAAAACTGGAAGAAACACAGATATGTGGAAATTAAACAACACACTCCTGACTACCAATGCGCCAAATAAAAATCACAAGAGAAATTAGAAAATATCTTGGGACAAATGAAAATGGAAACACAACAACTTTAGAGACGCAGCAAAAGCAGTACTAAAAGGGAGATTAATAGAGGTAAATGCCTACAATAAAAAAGGAGAAAGATCTCAAATCAACAACTTAACTTTACACCTCAAGGAACTAGAAAAAGTAGAGCTAAACCTAAAGTTAGCAGAAGGAAGGAAATAATAGAGATTAGAGCAGAAATAAGTGAAACAGAAACTAGAAAAACAATAGGAAAAAAATCAATGAAACTAAGAATTGGTTTTTTGAAAAGATCAACAAGATCAACAAACCTTTAGCTAGATTGATGAAGAAGAAAAGAGAAAACTCAAATAACTAAAATCAGAAATGAAAGAATGGACACTACTACTGATTTGACATAAATGGAAAGGATTATAAGAGAGTACTATGAAAAAGTGTATGCCAACAAATTGGATAACCTATGTGAAATAGACAAATTCCTAGAAACATACCACCTACCAAGACTGAATCAGGAAGAAACAGAAAATCTGAATAGATGACTTATAACTAGTAAAGAGATTGAATCAGTAATCAAAAACCTTCCAACAAAAAGTGCCCTGGACAAGATGGTTTCACTGGTGAATTCTACCCAATATATATACTGTGTGTGTGTGTGGCAGGGAGACCCGTGTAAATATGAACAATTTGAGTCAACCAAAATCAGCATATTGGCACCATCCTGGCAATCCAATCTCACTTGATCTTGCAAAAGAAATACTGCTCCAACCAGTTCGAGTAATCCACTTGCTAGGCCATTCTTCTGGAACCCAGGACCCAGCTATAGAGCCCCAGGACAACTCCATAGGCATGAGTACCAGGGTTCTTTGGGTAGAGGGCCACTGAGTACCCCAAAGGGAAAAAATGGAGACCTTGGCAGTTTTGTCCAGGCTTGGGCACCCTGCCACAATGACAATGCTGGTCCTGGCTGGTCCAGGCTGGTCCCAGGCATGGGAAAGGGCTTAGAAAATCTCAAGGAAGGCAGTCTAGAGCATGGAGAGTGCTCTAAACCCCCTGAGGTTCAGCGTCCAAGGCAGGAACCAGGCCTCAAAGCCTTTTCTTCTGGAGTCTTAAGTGATTAGGAGCTCTCACCTGATTTCCTGCAGTTTGAGAATGACTGCTGTGGACACTTACTTCAGTGCTCTGCTTTTAAAGATTTCCATAGATCCATGGTGAAATTAGTGCCAAGTATGGATACAAAGTTCTGTGGGAGTACAGAGGAGGGAAGGATGAATATGGGAGTGGATGATAAGGAGTTTATAAGGTGACAAAGGCTAAGGAAGGCATTAGGGTCTCAGTATCTGTGGAAAGGCATAGAGTCCCAAAATCACATGGGGCGTGGTGACTACTCTGGTGCATATGAAGTGGTGGCATTTATTGAACACCTAGACTGGTCCCTGTAAATTGCTAAGTGTTATACGGAATATGTGTCTGTTCTGCAACCACTCCCTACTCCCGAGGAAATGCGTGGTTGAATGTGAATTTTCTTTTTTTTTTTAAATACGTTTTTTATTAGTGACATACAATTAGACTTTTAAAAATTATGTTCCTGGAAGACATTTTTTTGGCAGCTGGCCAGTACAGGGATTGAACCTTGGACCTTGGTGCTATCTGCACCATGTTCTAACCAGCTGAGCTAACCGGCCAGCCCTGAATTTTCTTAATTTAACCTCAATTGTCAAAATGGTGTAGGGCCCCAATGTTATCATTGTTTACATGTGATCAGGAATTTATTGAGACAGAGGTGATATTCTCAACCTATAGCTGAGCCTCCCAGTGATACTGGTCCAGCCATGGGTAGGAATATTCTGACCCTTTGGAACCTTTCCTAGTGTAGTGATTACTACCTGTGATGGACTTTACTCTGATCTGTCTCTAGGCTACCTGACAAACTTACAATCCCTTTAGGTTTCCATCTGTAGCAAAGAAGTGATCTCAATTGACCTTAAATGCACCAAGCTAATGGACTAGGGATACAAAGACTAAAGCAGAATGTCTTAGTCTGTTTGGGCTGCTATAACAAAATACCATGGACTGTGTGGCATATAAATAATAGAAATTTATTTCTCACAGTTCTGGAGGCTGGGAAGTCCAAGATCAATGTGCCAGCATGGTTGGGTTCTGGTGAGGGCTATCTTCCCATTGCATAATGCTGACTTCTGGCTGTGTCCCCCCATGGCACAGTACGCTAGCTTTCTGGGGTCACTTTTATAAGAGCACTAATCCCATTCATGAGGGCTCCACTTCCATGACCTAATCTGCCGGAGACCAGCTCCAGTCAAGTTGGGGGTCTTTGAAAGAGGGATGAGGAAGCGGCAAAAATAACAAACAGAGGCAGAGACCTCAGTTCCTCTGAAGCACGTTCTCAGCCTGCGGGCTGTCAGCGCTGTAGCAGCCAGAGCAGCTAAAGCAGCCGAAGCAGCCTTTAGACTGAAAACAGCATTTTTATTTGTTACACAACACGGGGGGGGGGGGGGGG